CCCCCCCCCCCACATTATATTTTAAAACTTAAAACATGCTGACCCCCCCCCCCCCAAAAAAAAAAAAAACAACAACAACAACAAACAAACAAAGAAACATTAACAGTTTTGGCTCTGACATGATTACAAAATGTATTATATGTGCATTGAAAATATCATGGTTTGCCATAATTTTTACATAATCTTTAGTGTTTGCATTTAATAGACCTTAGGAGGGGAGGGGAAGCATAAAGCCAAAAAACGACTATAGAAAAGGCTGCAGGAAGGAGGGAAATCTATTCTGCTAAAGATAGTAAATAAAAGCAAAGCTGTGGAGTACTTACTCGATAAACGCCCTTATAAGATAGGAAAAGAGGATTTGAATCTAGGCGGTTTGAACTCTTTGAAAACTAAGTTGGATTTAAAATATTATTATTTAAAATATTATTAAGATATCAACATCACATAATACGGATGTATGTCATGGACATATCGTGACACTTTTATGTAGATATCAACATCACATAATAGGTTTGTATGTCATGGACATATCGTGACACTTTTATGTAGATATCAACATCACATAATAGGTTTGTATGTCATGGACGTGGGAATAGGGTGATAATTTTATAGTAAGCCGAACTCCATCAATACAGTAAAAAATAGAAAAAAAATTAAATCCTTTCAGATCGAGTTTTCTCTGAATTATGTTGAGCACGCTCAATAGTTGATTCTTAACATCGATCGATCGTGTCACTTAACAAGGCGCATATCATCGTACACTACGGATCATTAATAGCGCTACAGACTTGACCTTTATACGTGACATATGTTTGGAATTCGGTTTTCCAGTCGCCCATATATTTGGTGCTCCATTGATGAAACTCTTCTTTCCACCGTTTCTCAGCCTCTTCAATGTCAGCTGAAAAAAAATCGTTGAATTGAATAACGAAACTGTCATTGTTATGCACGACAGAACTTAACGAGATGACATATTATTTAATTGTGAAGATCACAAAATATCACGTTTCCGTCGCCAAGCTATTTAAAGCGTATCCAATAACCTAATGAATCTCAATCTCTCACCATTGTATACGTTGTGTAACTAACGAGTTAAGTATAATATTGCATACATTCACGTTTACTAAGGTCGATTTTACGGCTCAGACTGGCTCCAGATATCAGTTTTAGTGGGACATAAAGAAACAAGGTTGTAATTTACAAATGTGTTATATTCACACGATGCTAGACTAGACTAGATGCAGTGTAGTGTATGCCGATTCCTACCTGTTTGTACCATGCTAGACTAGACTAGATGCAGTGTAGTGTATGTTGATTCCCACCTGTTTGTACCATGCTAGACTAGACTAGATGCAGTGTAGTGTAGTGTATGCCGATTCCTACCTGTGTGTACCATGCTAAACTAGACTAGATGCAGTGCAGTGTATGTTGATTCCTACCTGTTTGTACCATGCTAGACTAGATGCAGTGTAGTGTAGTGTATGCCGATTCCTACCTGTGTATACCATGCTAAACTAGACTAGATGCAGTGCAGTGTATGCCGATTCCTACCTGTTTCTACCATGCTAGACTAGACTAGATGCAGTGCAGTGTATGCCGATTCCTACCTGTTTGTACCATGCTAGACTAGACTAGATGCAGTGCAGTGTATGTTGATTCCTACCTGTTTGTACCATGCTAAACTAGACTAGATGCAGTGTAGTGTATGTTGATTCCTACCTGTTTGTACCATGTTAGACTAGACTAGATGCAGAGCAGTGTATGTTGATTCCTACCTGTTTGTACCATGCTAGACTAGACTAGATGCAGTGCAGTGTATGTTGATTCCTACCTGTTTGTACCATGCTAGACTAGACTAGATGCAGTGCAGTGTATATTTATTCCTACCTGTTTGTACCATGCTAGACTAGACTAGACTAGATGCAGTGCAGTGCAGTGCAGTGTATGCCGATTCCTACCTGTTTGTACCATGCTAGACTAGACTAGATGCAGTGCAGTGTAGTGTATGCCGATTCCTACCTGTTTGTACCATGCTAGACTAGACTAGATGCAGTGCAGTGTATGTTGATTCCCACCTGTTTGTACCATGCTAGACTAGACTAGATGCAGTGCAGTGTAGTGTATGCCGATTCCTACCTGTTTGTACCATGCTAGACTAGACTAGATGCAGTGCAGTGTATGTTGATTCCTACCTGTTTGTACCATGCTAGACTAGACTAGATGCAGTGCAGTGTAGTGTATGCCGATTCCTACCTGTTTGTACCATGCTAGACTAGACTAGA